AAATAAAATTTACAATTTATAAAATTTAAGGGGCAAGTCGGGCGGTGGTGGCCCACGCCTTTAATCCCAGCACTCGGGAGGCAGAGGCAGGCGGATCTCTGTGAGTTCGAGACCAGCCTGGTCTACAAGAGCTAGTTCCAGGACAGGCTCCAAAACCACAGAGAAACCCTGTCTCAAAAAACCAAAAAAAAAAAAAAAAAAAAAAAAAAAATTTAAGGGGCAAATAGTCGGTGGGTAAAATTTCCGCCATCTGGTATTCTGACCCTCGTAGAACTCCCAAAACAGCTCTCTCACCTCTAGAGTCACACCTTGACACACATGGATAAACAAACAACATGAGCACATACGTGCACATGGACACACAAGCACAATCTTTTTATAAAAAAATAATTACCTGTGATCATCGAAGAATCCCTGTTGTTTTGTCTTTCTTTGGTTTTGTTTTTTGAGATAGGATCCCACATAGTCCAGGCTAGCCCAAACCCTGATCCTGAGGATAATTCTGGACTGCTAATCTTCCTCTTGAGTGTTGGGATTACAAGTGTGTACCACCAAGCCATCTTTTAAAATGCTGCTTTTTTTTTTCTTTTTTGGTTTTTGGTTTTTTTCAAGACAGGGTTTCTCTGTGTAACAGCACTGGCTCTCCTAGAACTCACTCTGTAGACCAGACTGACCTCAAATTTATAGAGATCTGCCTGCCTCTACCTCCCAAGTGCTGGGATTAAAGGCATGCACCACCATCAACCGGCTAAAACGCTATTTTTTAAAGCGAAATGCCCTTTTTTATCCAATCAGATTATTGAAGTTGTTACGTTTTGCTGGGGGTTTTGTTGTGTAGGTGGTTTATTTGGTTTGTTTTTTATTTACTGTCATGGCTTGCTTACTTGGGAGGAAAAAGAAAACAAAAAAACAGAAAATACTGCTCAGAGTTGGTGGGAGGTGAGGGAAACAAGCTAGGGGCAGAGTGTACCCTGCTACATTTGCTACAGTGAGCTTCGGCGGCTAAGACCTAGAAACTTCAAGTACTCTGGTACCAACCATGCAACTTTAGGAATTTATTCTAAGAAAATCATTATAGCGACACAAAGATTGATTAGGGTATATATTCATCAAAATGGTGAAAAAGTGGAAGATTCTTAGTGTGTTCTAAGTGATCATTTGTTAAATAAAACAGACCAAATAAACACACACACACACACACAAAATGTAAAAAATACTAGGATTTGGTGGGCTGGAGAGATGGCTCAGGAGTTAAGCACTGACTTCTCTTCAAGGGGACTGGGTTCAATTCCCAAAACCCACATGACAGCTCACAGCTGTCTGTAACCTCAGTTTCAGGGATCTTACACAGGCAAAACTATAAAATAAAATTTAAAAACTATCAAATAAAAATAAATAAATCATTCACCAGTGATCCCACCCCTCAGGAGGAAGAGGCAGGCGGATCTCTGTGAATTCGAGGCCAGCCTGGTCTAAGAGTGAATTCCAGGATAGCCAGGACTGTTATGTAGGGTTCCAACTGCTCCTATAGAGGACCTGAGTCAGTTCCCAGCACCACACCACATCAGGCTGCTCACAACCCTCCGTAGCTCGGAACTCTGGCTCTTGTGGGAAGTGCATTCATGTGCACGTACAGACATATATAATTTAAATTTTAAACATTTAAAGTACTGAGAATTCTAAAGACATAAAAAGTAGTAAAAAAAAACATTTTAAGCAGCTTATAGAACAAAAGACATAGAGAAAATGATGAGTATGTATCTGAAAGAAATCCGCTACGTGATTTGGTGACTGTCAAAACACTCCTGTGATGAACAATAACGTCAACTTTCTTCATTTTTGTTAGGTAAAAAGAACAAGGCCAAACCTACTTTAGTAATACTAGACCTAGCATCCCCAGCACCTCCCACCACGCCTTGGTCCCATCCTTTGTAGGCTTCTCTCTCAGATTTACTTTCCAGCTTTCTTTTTGACCTGTGAACTCCTGATTTGGGTTAACACCAAAGCTTTTTTTTTTTTTTTTTTTTTTTTTGGTTTTTCAAGACAGGGTTTCTCTGTGGTTTTGGAGCCTGTCCTGGAACTAGCTCTGTAGACCAGGCTGGTCTCGAACTCACAGAGATCCGCCTGCCTCTGCCTTCCGAGTGCTGGGATTAAAGGCGTGTGCCACCATCGCCCGGCTAACACCAATGCTTTTTACCCAACCTTTGGGGATCCCAGATTTTACCACCCTGGCAGCTCTCTGCTGCCCCCTTCTGCTACCTACAGACAACCACTGTCGTTCCTGAAAGGTCTCTCGCTTCTTCTGAAGAAAGCCTTTGCCACTGCAAGGCAAAAATTTCAGTATGCAAGTATTTTTTAATATTAAGTTATTGGGAAGTGAAAAAAATGTCATCTCCACAAATTCTTTACTAATTGCAGGCCAAGTCCTAAGTGCTCAAGTACAAGAACCACTGGCAGTAGGAGGTGAGCAAGGTCACCCACACATATTTTTAGCCAGGTTAGTGTGGAAACACTCTGTAGCCGACTGGCCTCAAACTCACGACAGTCTTCCTGCCTCAGCCTTCCAAATGCTAGGATTACAGTCAAGAGCCACCACACTTGACTCCATTTTTTAAAAAAATTCTTTGAATTTTAATTTAAGTGGCACAGGTTGGCCTGGAATGAACGCTTTGTTGCTCTTCCAGAGGACCGGTTTTCAGTTCCCAGCACCCACATGCTACAACACAGAACCTCCTGTAACTCCAGCTCCAGGGGTCCAATGATCTCTGACCTCCACAAACACTTGTACAGTTACACACGTGTTTGCCATAAATTTCTGTTGTGCATCAGTAGTCTAGGAAAGGGAAAGACGGCTAAACAAGCAGTCTCATCAGACATAACCATTTCCTGGAATTGTGTAGAAAAGTCTGAAGTGTAAACGAAACAGAATGTTACCTGATGTAACAAGATGAGGCTGTTACTTCCTAAAAACACTAACAGTAAAGTCCCCAGTTTCAATCTGTACTGATTAATTAAAACATTAGGTCGTGAAAAACAAACAAAAAAAATAGATGGTGTAGTAGCACATGCCTATGAGTCTAACACTTAGGAAGCTGAGGCAGGAGGATTACCTTGACTTGGAGGCCAATATAGGCTGCATAGATACATCCTATTTAAAACGGAACTGAGTCGGATGTTGGTGGTGGCACACACCTTTAACCACAGCACTTGGGAGGCAGAGGCAGGCAGATATCTGTGAGTTCGAGGCCAGCCTGGTCTACGTAGTGAGTTCCAGGACTGTTATATAGAGAAGCCTTATCTCAGAAAAAAAAAGTTGTTTATTGTTCCCCCCCTCGTCTCAAATATTACCTTTAATGATAGCTAGCAGTTGGATTTTGTTTTTGTTTTTGATTTTATTTTTATTCAATGTAATTTTTCTGTATATAGATCAGCCAGTTTGTCTTGTATTGTATGCACAGGTATATACATATATTTCAAAATCTAAAATTTGAAATACTTCTGGTCTCAAACATTTTGGATAAGAGACATGCACAATGAAATAGTATGTAATCATTGAAAGAGAGAGGGAAAGGGTAATTATGGATAAGAATTATGTCATAGTTGTAAGCATGAAAAAAATAAGCCTGTTGTTGAAAATTGTGTGTTAAATGTAACACGTGTAAGAGAGGAAAAAAAGAACACTTTTATGATTATTCCTGGCTATCCAAATCTATTTCTATCCAAATTGAGATAGCAAGAGTTGATTGAACTTTAATGAATTCAGATGGTCAAAAAGGTTATATTTTCCCAATATATTTTGTTCCAAGTTAGATCACAAATACCAAGAGATTAAATTAAGAAAAAGTGCATCGCCTGGCAGTCGTGGTTTACCCCTTTAACCCCAGCACTAAGGAGGTAGAGGCAGAATTCCAGACCAGCCAAGACCACACAGTAAGATCGACCCTGTTTCAAAAAAAGAAAGAAAGAAAGAAATCAAAACATTTATCTAAATCTATTTAGTTCTTGGTTTTGCAAAGCAAGAGGTCCGATTATTTCATGTGTTCATAAAAGAAATTTTTTCATCCAGAAATGATATGCATGGAACCATTAAGAACCCTCTTGGGTGGCTGAATTTTCTTTTTTTCTTAACAAAATTGTTATTTGAACATCTGACAATGTGCACAGTGCTTCTAATCTAAAAACCTAACAACAAACAGATTTTTAGAAGGCACATTCTGGGAATGCCGGAATCTTAAGCACACGGGCCACTTTAGTGACTCGTCGTAGTCGTGGGTTTATTTATTTCCTTTTAATAATTTGTTTATGCCGGGCGGTGGTGGCACACGCCTTTAATCCCAGCACTCGGGAGGCAGAGGCAAGCGGATCTTTGTGAGTTTGAGGCCAGCCTGGTCTACAAGAGCTAGTTCCAGGACAGGCTCCAAAGTTACAGAGAAACCCTGTCTCGAAAAACCAAAAAAAAAAAAAAAAAAATTGTTTTTATTTTTTGTTTTATGCACACGGTGTTTTGCCTGCATGAATGTCTGTATGAGTGAATCAGATCCCTTGGAACAGGAGTTACAGACAGTTGTGAGCTGCCATGTGGGAGCTGGGAACTGAACCCGGGACCTCTGGAAGAATAGTCAATTTTCTTAACTGCTGAGCCATCTCTCCAGACCCCTGTGTGTTTATTTTTCTTTGGCTGAAAAAAAAATTTTTTCTGTTGGATTATTTATTTATTTATTTTTGTTTTTTTCAAGACAGGGTTTCTCTGTGTTACAGCCTAGCTGTCCGGAACTAGCTCTTATAGACCAGGCTGGCCTTGAACTCAACAGAGATCTACCTGCCTCTGGCTCCCAAGTGCTGGGATTAAAGACACGAGCCACCACTGCCCAGCTGGAAGTATTATTATTATTCAAGATGAACTGGGCACTGAAACAGCTGCCCATTGTTCTTTCGCGGAGTCCATGCCTGAATCTCCCGCAGACAGTTTTAGGTGTCTGGCTGGCCCGGTCCAGTCACACTTAGTCCCGTGCTGTGGCGCTCCAGTTATACCAGCTCTCAGGCGTGCAGGCTGCCACATTTACGGAAGGCTGAGAGTCGCGCCTGCGCGGAGGGGATGTCTGAATGATGATGTCTGACGACTCCTTGTCATCTCGCTTCTGCTGTTGAAGCCGAAGTGCTGCACTTTTTGCGGGTGTGCAGTGGAATTGCTGGTCAAAAAGTATAAACATTTTTAATATTCCAACATTGTCAACTTTATCATGAAGAATGCTTTCCAGAGAGCTCACTTCCCACATCTGCCCAAAGCTCAAGTCACTTTTTTTTTTTTTTTTTGATTTTTCGAGACAGGGTTTCTCCGTAGCTTTTGGTTCCTGTCCTGAAACTAGCTCTTGTAGATCAGGCTGGCCTCGAACTCACAGAGATCCACCTGCCTCTGCCTCCCGAGTGCTGGGATTAAAGGCGTGCGCCACCACCGCCCGGCTTCAAGTCACTTTTTTAAATAAGAAAAAAATTAGACCTACATCAATCTAAAATTTTTTTAAAAAATTCATTGATTTTCCTTTATGTGGGAAGTTGAACATCTCTTTAGTGCATTTATTGGTCACTTGGAATTTATCATTTGTGAGGTTTCTATTCAACTATTTGGGCCATTTTTCTACTAAATTATTTGGGTTTGTTTTATTTTTAAAGTTCTTTATAATATTATGTTCCAAAAGTTGTCTGTTTACCTTTTTATTTTATTTACTAAGTACTGATTTTTATTTTTCTCTCTACAGGAACTTTTTAAGCTTTTTTGGTATTATCTCTCAATTTTGTTCTATACAGAATTGATTTTTCATATAACAATTGGTTCATGCCACTTTTCAGATGACTTCTTCAAGACTATATTGGGAGGGGATGGTAAGTCAGACCTAAGCATGTGTGACAGTCCCTAAGGAAATCTATTACTTTGTAAGCTAATTAAAATAAAATAATTTTCTTTCTTAAATTTTATTTATTTATTTATTTTTGGTTTGTCGAGACAGGGTTTCTCTGTGGCTTTGGAGCCTGTCCTGGAACTAGCTCTGTAGACCAGGCTGGTCTCGAACTCACAGAGATCCGCCTGCCTCTTAAATTTTATTTTCTGTGAATGGGTTTTGCCTGTGTGTGTGCCTGTGTACTAATGTGCATGCAGTGCTCACAGTGGCCAGAAGAGGGCGATGGATTCCCCAGAACCGGAGTTACAGATGAAGGCCAGCCATCACGTGGGTGCTGAAAACTGAACCAGAGTTTGTATCTACACAAAAGCCGTTCACCACTGAGCCATGGCTCCAGCCCCCAACTCAAATAATTTTAAAGGAAGATATCTTTTTACTACTGTGTTCTTTAATTTTTGGTGGGTTTTTGTTTTCACAAATAAAGTCGATCGGCTTATATCCAAATACATGGTTAATGTCAAAAATGTACCCTTACAGTGTATTTTCAGCTTTGTTTCAACTAGACTAAGGCTATAAAATCTACTTCTGACTGACACCAACATATTAAATTCTCAAGGACGGAATAGTCAAATACACCATGTGTCCAAACACCAGTGCACACAGGTACTTTTGCAGTTGAAACTAAACAATGTGATTAAACAAAATAGTCGCTCATGAATTCAAATACACAGATCTAAACTCTGGGAGTTTAGCCGTGTCCATGAATGACACCATGGACACCCAAATGGGAAGCCAACTTCTTGAAAGAATAAAAATGTTACAGAGAATAACTTTGGAAGATTGTCTTAAAACTGAGGGGGATTCAGGCAGTGGTGGTGCACGCCTTTAATCCCAGCACTCAGGAGGCAGAGACAGGCGGATCTCTGTGAGTTCAAGGCCAGCCTAGTCTGCAGAGAGAGTTCCAGGACTGGCTCTATAGCTACCTAGAAACTCTGTCTCAAAAAACAAAAACAAAACAAACAAACAAAAAAAAGAGGGGGTACTGGCCTCTGAAGAGGTCAATTAGATGCCTGATAAGTAGCTGTCTGGTAGAGGAACGGCACGTAAAGGAGCTGGAATGGTGGTGCCTTCTTGAAGCCCGTGCAAACCACCACTCCCTGTGCCTCCCAGACTTCGCTCACTAAAGCAAGACAGGATCTACCATCAGCCACGTGATTCTTGCCAATTGTCTTCGTCAGTAATAAAAGTATTACCTTATTTTGCCACTGATGTGCATAATGTTTACGTGTGTGTGTCGTGGGATAACCTTTTTGTACACTGTGAAGATATGTCACTGACAAGGCACCTTCTGATTGGCTTAATAAAGAGCTGAACAACCAGTAGCTAGGCAGGAGGGGGATAGGCAGGACTTCCGGGAAAAGAGAGGGACTCCTTCCCACCAGCAAGATGTAAAGGGAGTCCAATGTACAGTACAGAAGAGAGGTAATGAGCCACGAGGCAGAACGTAGATTAATATAAACGGGTTAATTTAAGTTATAAGAGCTTTGGGAACAAGCCTAAACTAAGGCCAAGCTTTCATAATAAAGAAGTCTCCGAGTCATTATTTGGAAGCTGGTGGTCCAAAGAAAATCCGACGACATGTGTGTGAGAGGGAAAGACCCATGTGGTTAGAGGCCAACCTTTCGCAGCTGGTTCTCTCTACACTGTAGGTTCTGAGGATTGAACTCAGGTTGTCTGGCTTGGCAGCAGACTCCTTTACCTGCTCCCTGAGCCATCTTTCCAGCCCAGATCATATTTGTCTGTCTTTTTAGCTCTAATTGTGTGATAATAGGCCTCTGTCTCCTGGATGGGAAAGAAAAAAAGACAAAAAGCAAAGCCCAGGACTTGAGAGGTAGAAGCAAGAGGGTTAGCCATGAATGTGAGGTCAGTCTGGTATACAAAGCCAGTTCCAGACAACCAAGACCCTATCAGTGGTCAAGGATTAGATTTGCCCAGCACACTCAAGGCCCTATGTTCAACTTCAGGCACCACATATAAAAAAGCAAATCAGGTCAGGAGTTTTACTGGTGGCTGAATGGCGAAGGACTAATTTAATCTTCTGTGGCCTGGTTCCAGGTGTCTTTGCCTGAAGAAAGCTATTCTGTCAAGGCCTGATGTGGGCCTTCACCAAGGCTGCCTTCCACACCTCCCCAGTTGCACTTCTAACTTCCTTTCTGACCTCAATATGAACCCTTCCCCTGCCTCCAATTCCCAGTACACACAAAAGCCTTATACTAAAAAGGTGGGGTTTTTTTCCCCACGATGATTTAAAAGCTTGATCCTATATCCTCTACTCCCTGAGCCCTAAGACATTGCACATTTGAAACTAATTAAAAAGATTTGTATCCCATAATTCCTGACTGAGAGGCTATCCGCATGTGTCCTTGAACAGCGTATGTGGCTGAGAAGCGAATCGCACGCTGTATTCATTTTCCCCGGGGATGTGCTGGAGCCAATATTCTCATCTCTTCCCAACTTCCACTCAGCAGTACCTTTGGCAGCTTTGAGACTGGCAACAGTGCGGGTATTTATACCAGGGAAAGCGGCGTGCAACACAGCCAGGCTGTTAACACTGCGCACACTGTCAAACATTCCAGCACGCCACTGGGGAGGAGGTTCTTCTGGTTTCCAGTAACAGAGACCCACTTGAGCTGGCAGAAGTGAAAGGGGGACGTTATCACACGATTCTGCTGGTGAGGTGCCGAGGCGCTGATGTGGGGGTGACAGGGGGCCCTCAGGAAGGAGCTGAGACTGGGGACTTGAAAAATCACCGTGCTCTTCACTCTTCTCTGTTTACTGTGCTTTTCTTCCTCCAACAACCTTCTCCCCCAGCTCCTAACCTACCTGGAGAGCACACCGGACCTGGAAGAGACGTGCTCTGAGTCCAGTTTCCCTGGGAAACTGGTATCTGTCTCGGTTCCAAGTCCAGCTTCTCAGGCAGGGACTTAAAATGGAAGAAAATTCTGCCGCAGCCAAGGCCTGGCCAAGGCAAAGTAGGTGGGAGTGAGCAAAACTGAGGCCAGCAGCATAAGCGAAAGATCAGAGCCCTGGCAAAGACTTTTCCATCTCCGACCGACTCTTCTCTAGCATCAGCCAGGGCCCTCACTCCTTTCCCCCGATGCCACTCCAGGTTACCCAGAAGACGTTGGGAGGACGATGTTCATCTCTGACACTTTCAGACTTTTCCCTTGTCACTGCTCCCAAACACAAATAACAGCTATGGACATCTCCTTGCCTTGTGCTTGGGATTGTGAACGTTCTAGGATGCACAAATGACGCTGGCATAATCGTGTCCGCGGGGGGCGGGGGGGGGGGGGACGACACTTCTGCATCCATAGCATCCATCCCACTGTGGATACGGGGAAGGGCAGCAGTTTATACAGGTCTGTCTTTAGCGACTTCAGCACTGCCAAGCTCTTCCCAGGTGAAAGGCACTGTTCTAGAGTTCATGGAGGAAGATCCTAAATCACCTGCAAGAAACAGGAAAACTCCCTAAATATGTTCAAAAATAGTTACCGGACAGGCAGTGGTGGCGCACGCCTTTAATCCCAGCACTCGGGGGGCAGAAGCAGGCGGATCTCTGGGAGTTCAATGTCAGCCTGGTCTACAGACTAAGTTTCAAGACAGCTAAGGTTGTTACACAGAGAAACCCTGTCTCAAAAAACAAAAACAAACAACAACAACAAAAAAAAACCATAGCTACTGTCCCTGAAGGCTGAGAACTTTGCTTGTTTGGCAGAGGAGCTCCCCAATATTCATGGTTCCAGTCCTAGCACCATAGACTGGGGGTGGTGGTATAGTTCTTGCACTCAGGAGGCAGAGGCAGGAGGATGGAAGGTCAGGGTCATACACAAGGTGACAGTTACAGCAAGTTTGAGGTAAGCGCAGGCTACAAAAGACCCCGTCTTTAAAAAAAAAAAAAGCAAAGAAACAAAAAAACTATACAGATACTATACAGATAGACATGCTTTGTTGAGAGAGGCTTGCTGTTTATTTGTTGAGACTACGTCTCACTACAGTCTTGGCTGGCCTAAACTAGCCTTGAACTCACCTGCCTCTGCCTGCTTGGTGGCAAGATTAAAGGTGTGCACTACCACACCCAGCCAGGGTCAGTTTTAAAAAATAAATATGTTGGCAGGGCATACTTTTAAACTCAGCACCCAGGAGGCAGAGGCAGGGAGATCTCCATGAGTTTGCGGCCAGGCTGATCCACATAGAGTTCCAGGCCAGTTAAGGCTACCTAGTAAGAACAAGTCTTAGAAAAAAATTACCTTGCCTGCAGGATTCCAGGCCCAGTGGCACACTCCTGCAATCCCAGTACATTACAGGAGGCTGAAGCAGGCAGATGGCGAATTCCAGCCAAGTCTGGGCTACAAAAAAGAAAGAGAGAGAGAGAGAGAGAGGAGGAAGAAGAAGAAGAAGAAGAAGAAGAAGAAGAAGAAGAAGAAGAAGAAGAAGAGAAGAGAAGAAAAACAAAACAGACATCCAAAGTATCGCTCCAGCTCTTGTCAGTTCAGCCACTCTGTACCTATTCTTTCCATCCTCCCACTTTGTGCCTCGGTGGACACGTGCTGCCATCCCTTGCAGACTCGGAGATGTCCACCGAAAGAAGAGAGGCCATTTCCTCTCTCTACGTGTCTGTTTTCGGAGTGAAGAAACTCTGAAGAATGCCCCCACCAGCTAACTTCTCCCCAGAAAGAAGGGACACCCCCTGCCTGCTTGAACCACTCGTAGACAAGGGGGACTGGTACTGCCATGATTGGCTCAGAGCAATCAAGACCTCCTGTAACAGTGTACAACGGGGCAGAACGACAGTCTGCTAGAACGGACAGAAGGGGAGCAACCAGCAGGGGCTGCCGGGACCCTGACTCTGAAGCCCTGCAATCAGACAACACGCAGTGCTCCGGCCCTAGCAGGCATTACTCCGGCCACTTTAGTCCCTTATTTCTCCCTCAGACCAAATCCAGTGGATCCGCCCACCGGAACCTGGTTTTTATCTCCCCCGTTTCCCCCTTTTGATTTATTCTAATTAGTAGCAGAGCTGGCTCCCTGCCTGGCATTTTCGCCGCTAAATCAAGATTTTGAACATATGAAACTTTACGGTGACGGGGACACTAATAAACAAAGTCGTTACAGACTGCAGGCCCCTCTAATCAGGCGGGGCTGAGATCTGCCTGCAACGGAAGTCAAGCTCAGAAGCCAAGTGATAAAAGTCGGAACACAGTATTGTTGGGGTTAAAACTTTTTATTACTTTTAGAAAGTATTTCGTGCATTGAATTCTGAGCGCTGAGTAGAAACTTCCAACAGAAAATAAGGAGTTCCGTGCTGGAGAACTGGCTGGGGGCCGGCGGTGTTGATCAAAAAAAGCACACGAGCAATTGATTTAAGACACCTCTCTTAGGAGAGTCTCTAGGCTTAACAATCTTCTGCTCTCCATTAAAAATAAAGAAATACATGCAAGTTTAATTTTCTTTTTTTTCGCCTAGGTTACCAAGTTCCTCCTTACACCCAAAAGGGCCTAGAGTTGACTATGGAGTTCATAAGAAACATACTGCGCCCCTTTTCTTCCTTCACCACCTCCGGAGGTTTGGGACTCATTTGCTGCTCGCCTTGACCGCGGGCCACCTCCTTGACCACGTGTTCCTGACAGAGAGAATGTCCAGGTGGCCGGGTGCTGGGAAACCTGTCAGACGTTACTCGGTGCAATAAAAGAACCCAGCAGCCGAGGTCCCCGGCATATTGTTGCAGGGAAACCCTTTCAGAATTCGCTAATTGGGAATTTGTGATAATTTGGGGAAGGGCTGGCTGAAGTTAACCTTTGTGGGGGAATAAAGAGTTCACTGAAGTTCTGCACAGTATAAACAAGATTAGACGGGGAATAATTATCTACTTAAAAGAGCCAGTTGTTTTGAAAAGCTTTCTACAGAAGTATCCTTTTACATACAAACAGGGTAATTATGACTTAAACAAAGGCTGGCCTGTTTCTTAGGCTTCTTTGAAATGTCAATTACAAATTACTCTTGTCTAGTCTCCAAAGCAAAGTCCATCCCTGTGCACTGGCCGCAGTTGGTTAGCTTGCTTCCACTCACTGTATTTACAAATACAAACTTATAGTCCTTCTAAAGTAATACGATTCAATTCACGCTTTTCACTAACCTAAACAGTGGGTCTGTCCTACAGTGCGGTGAGGATTTACTAATTACTAGCATGTGGCCAGTCTGGAATGCGTGGAGCGACGATGTGTGGCTGCATATTAAGGGAAAAATCTAAGAAGAAAACTCCCATCCAGCAGAAGGCTTTTGTTCTTTACATTAACATAGCAAGAAGCACATTTTGTACTGTAACTCAGTCCCTGTACCCTGAAACCGAAACAGTTCTCCTCAAACAATCCTGCTACCCTCTATTATTTTAATTGATTTTACTACTCATTACACTAGCCCCTACCCTTACCACGGAGGATTATTCCCAGAGGGTGTGGAAACTTTATGCACATATGATTTTTCACGCGTATGTTGTGTGTCCCTATGATAAAATTTCATTTAGGTAGAGTCCCTGTCGAGCATGAACAAGGCCCTGGGTCCTATCTGTACTGCTGCAGAAAAACAAAAGGTCTATTTGGCAGTTCTATTGTTCCCACACCCTTGGTTACTCTTTACTGGGTAGTCAAATTTTCTTGGAGAAGGATGAGGTGGAGGAGGAGTGAAGTTGTTTTTTTTTTAATTTATTTATTTATTAAAGATTTCTATCTCTTCCCCGCCGCTGCCTCCCATTTCCCTCCCCCTCCCCCAATCAAGTCCCCCTCCCTCGTCAGCCCAAAGAGCAATCAGGGTTCCCTGCCCTGTGGGATGTCCAAGGACCACCCACCTCCATCCAGGTCTAGTAAGGTGAGCATCCAAACTGCCTAGGCTCCCACAAAGCCAGTACGTGCAGTAGGATCAAAAACCCATTGCCATTGTTCTTGAGTTCTCAGTAGTCCTCATTGTCCGCTATGTTCAGCGAGTCCGGTTTTATCCCAGGCTTTTTCAGACCCGGGCCAGCTGGCCTTGGTGAGTTCCCAATAGAACATCCCCATTGTGAGTGAAGTTGTTTTGTTTGTAAGTTGGGTACAGTAAGAAATCAATACTTAGCCGGGTGGTGCTGGGGCACCCCTTAAATCCCAACACTCAGAAGGCAGAAGCAGGGAGACCTCGAGGAGTTCGAGGTCAGTATGGTCTACAGAGTTTAGTTCCAGGACAGCCAACGGCTTCACAGAGAAACCCTGTCCTGAAATAAATAAAAAATGAAAAACAAACCCAGAACAATAAAAACTACCAATGTTTAGTATCTATGACGGTTGACCGTGAAGCCTGAAGCCACAGAGAGCTGTTCTGAAATCACCTTCCTAGAATAGCTGGGAGACGAGAGCATTCCTTCCCGGCTATCTGGAATCCTGCAGCTGTTAACTGGGTTTTTGGAGTAGGTGTAAGCTGCCTTCAGGGGCCTCCCTGCTCTGAGATGGCGTAGTGAGAGTCACTGCCCTTCTAAATCAGCGCCTCTCATCTTCTCTCAGATCCTGGCTGTTTTCTAGGTCCTGCTGCCTCTTGCTAGTCAGCATTCAGTCTCGCTCATTTCCAGCTTCCCATGGCTTCAGCTCAGCCTTTATAAGGTTTCTTCCTCTTGTCATGAGCCAAACCAGGCTTTCTCATAGAAGCCGAGGCAAGTGGAAGCCGTGAGTTCTTTCCACCAAACAGGTGAGCCCTGGCTCCTCGTTCTGTTCAGTTTCTGACTCTTGGCTGCGTTTTCCTCCCACGGTCCTCTAATCTCGTGTGCCAAATTTTCACACCAGAAGCCAGGTATAGTGATGAGGGTGATGAATGCCTTGAATCCCAGGGTTCAGGAGCCCGTGGTAGGCAGATCTCTGAGTTCAAGGCCATCCAGGGTTGCTTAGTGAGACCCTATCTCAAACAACAACAAACACGGAATGGGATTGGTGAGGTGACTCGGGGGTCAAGAGTGCAGAGTACCTAGATTCAATTTCCAGCACCCATATGGTAACTCACAACCATCCATACCTCCATTTCCAGGGGACTTGAAGCCCTCTTCTGATCTCTGTGGGCCCCAAGGTGTACATATATACATTAAAAAATTCAAAACATTTTTACACATAAAATATATCTTTAAAAAGAAGAACAAGGATAAGGACAGGCAAGACGGCTCAAAGGGTAAAGGTGCTCACTACCAAGTCTCCTAAACTGAGTTCAACCCTAGAAACCAAGCAGTGGAAAGAGAGGACAGATTCCATTCAGCAAGTTGTCCTGATTTCCACATACTATGGACAAGTGCTCCTACACACACACACACACGTAAAAAAGAAAACAAAATAGACAATGTATTATCATGGTGGTTAGATATGACCCCAAACCCAGGTCTTTCACTTTTACCAATCTTTCCCCTTGCCTTGGTTTCATCATTTGCCAGGTTGGCATAATACCTATCTTGCAGATGTGTGAAAACTAGTTTTTATAGATGCTCATATGTGCCTGAAATATAGCAAACATTTTCAAAATGTCCCCCAATAACAACATTATTATGTTTCTGTTACTTAGATTTACCCTGAAGCAGAATCCAAAGACAGAGAAAATCATGCAGACATGAGCAGAAAAAGAATCCCTCACCTAGGAATCTGCCATCTTGACCAGATGAGAAGAACTCTGATAAATTAATATTTCCTTAAGGCCTTCCTCCTTTCTTCTCTATAAATCTATAACTTTTTAGAAATCTCACTAGAAACCCCATTTATAGTAAAATATATGTCCTGTGCTCCTAGGGCAACCCCAATAGCTCCTGGTTTTATCTTATTAGATTATATCTAGGGCACTGCCTTTCATCTCATTTATCAAAAAGAGAGAAAGTGTTAGAGTCTCTTAGCAGCCCTTTGCGTTGTAACTTCAGAGCCACAGTGGTAACCGTGGTCAGTGCTAAGACATGGAAGTGCAGCCTTCCTTGGGAAGCCCATCCCCACATCTGAGGTGTGTCTGCCTCCCCCACGGGGACTACTTTTCTATTTTCACTCAGCTTCAACTCTGCTTCATCCGGCTTCCCTTTCAGTTCTTTTCTGAGGTTGAAGGATCTGTTTTACCTGAGTCAAGGCTGCAAAAGGTTAAGGGAATTCAGGTGCCTACTGGCACCAAGTAAAGCCACATCACCCAATTTGGCAAGCAGAGATAAATATTGACCACCCCGTAATCCATGATCCCTGCCCCCTCATTCCCTATCTTTCTGCAAATACCCCCTGCATGCATGACCTCCTTCAAGACACCCATTTCAGTCAGAACCTTCCCTGCTTCCCACAATTCTCTGCTTCTCAGTCCCAGAGAACAGCTGTGATTGATACTTGATGTAGTTGTTATGAAAGTCAGCTGTGACTTGGATTTTTTGTTGTTGTTTTTGTTTTCTTTTTTTTTTATTGGTTTTTCAAAACAGGTTTTTCTCAGTAGCTATGAAGCCAGTCTTGGAACTTGCTCTGTAGACCAAGCTGGCCTCAAACTCAGAGATCTGCCTGCCTCCTCCTCCAGAGTGCTGGGATTAAAGGTGTGCGTCACCAGCAGCGGCCGGAGGTCAGTTCTGAAAATGCATGGATGAGTCACCAAACGGAGGCAAGCCCTCCCTCAAGCCAGCCGGCCAAACAGGCCACAGCCTTTGACCATAAACATCAGAGGAGAGACTGAAGAGGAGACTATCGTAATGGTCTGCTGTCCCTTTAAGAGACAAGCCACACCCACTCCCTCCCCATCTGCTGAGGCAAGCTGATCTTCAGCTTCCAGCCTGAGTCCCTCCCTTTCCCATCTCGCCCCCCCCCCCAGCCTTGCTCCATACTCCCCACTTCCCCCCCCCCCGTCTTTCTCTATCTCTGTCTCTCTCTGTTTCTTTCTGCTCTTCCCCCTTCTCTCCTTACCCCCTGTCCCCTTCCCATCCATAACCCACTAAATAAATATCCAACCTTACTCTGTATGGCATGCTTATCTTGCCTGTTGCGTGGCTCCCTGCCTGGCACCAGCCACCTTCTGAGACTTGCAGTGTGGTCTCATGGCATGCCCATCCGTCTGTCTCTCCTTGTGGAACTCACTGCCTCTCTGGCCCACTGCAGCCACTTGGAACAGTGCCATCCCTGCCTGGGATTGGCTGACCACTGCCACCGCTTGGAGACCTTCAGCGTTTCTGCCGCTGCAGCCACTCGAGGGTCTGCAGCATTTTACTTAATGCATTACAACTATCATGGCTGGCCTGGAGTCCCACTCTGAGAGTGACACTGGGCTTTGCATGAAGGCAACATCGCCCATGACCGGCATTTACAGCCTTGGTTTCCTGAGCAATATCCCACCCCACCAATTCTGCACTGTCCTCTTTAATCCCAACCTCGATGTCTATGCTTTTGTTTCTTATCTAACCTCATCTACGTCTCATCCATTTGGTTTGAGGCAACTCTCTCCTTAGATATCCTCCCACCTCTGTTTAGAGTTATTTAAGACAGATTCTCCTGTATCCCAGGCTGATCTCCTTGAACTCCTGATCCTCTTGCCTCTACCTCCTTAGTGCTGGGATCACAGGCATGTGCCTCCATATCTGGTTTATGTAGTGCAGGGGATGGAACCCAAAGCCTCACGCATACTCTTCATGTATCCTGCCAAGCCACTCTACCTCTGTTTTCTGTTGATGTTCACACAGATAATCCTAGTTAGACCCCAGTGGTGGAGACATCTACATTGGTTCCAAAGTCTTTGCTATAATTAGTTAAGGAATCAGCCCTTGCCAAGGGGAATCCTGGGTCCCAAGTCACATCCTGTCTGTTCTCCATGCTAGTCCTTTCCCTGCCCCTCATGGAAGTTTTAGTCCTTAGTATCAGGCTGCATGATCCACCACAGATGGTAATCAAGTCCTTCTCCAAAACCTGCACCCTTGTTTGAACTCTAGCCCCATGACTAGAGGTCATGTCACATCTTCTTATCCTTGCTAGCCCTCTCTAGGATCTGGGCCTTGTTTTATAACACAGCTGGGTGCCTGCCATCCACCTGGAAAGTGATCCACAGAATGGCTACCCATCCATTTTACTCTTAAACTCTTCATTGGCACCACTACCATCCAGCGCTAGGGTCCCCAATTTAAATGAAAATTCTAGTCCCAAGTTTGCCTAGATTTCAGCTATTTGTACTAAAGGTCCTCTCTTCTACCAACTTTCAGACAGGCTCTTCTGAGTCCTCCTCTTGACCAGGTTTCAGCTTGGCCCCGTTCTGTCTGAACTACTGAGCTGGTTTAGCAAGAATCCTGGTAAGTTCATGGCTGACCATACTTTTGATGACTAAGTCCCACCTTCACCACGAATTACGTTAGAGGCCTGATGTGGTGGCCCACACTGTTAAGCACAGTACCCGGGATGTTGAGCCAGGCTGATCTCTGAGTTTGAGGCCAGCCTGGACTATATAACGAGTTCTAGGCCAGCCAAGGCTACCTAGAGAAACCGTATCTCCAAAAACAGTGTTAGGTAAGTTTAAAAGGGATTATCCATTATCCTTTAGTAGTTTCCAACCAATGACCCTCCTCACCCTGCCCCTGGCTGTGTATCACTTATCTTGTATTAGGCTCTCATTTCTATGTAGCTCCTTTATTGATCTCTATTGTAATAGTGTCAAATAAAAATTTTCTCCTTATCTTAACGAGTATGAGAAAAAAGTTTTAACACTTGCCATGGTCTTGGGACAACAACCGAGGACAAGCCACGGCCCGGCTGCCTTCAGAGTCACTCTCCCTGTCTTCCTGGTGACTCGAGAAATATGGTCATATTCCAGGTCCTTAAGCTCATTCCTCAACAGCCCTTAGTGGACTCAATATCCCAACCAACACAGCTCTAGCAGAGTCGTCTCAACTATTAACAAACCAACCGGTCCGTCCTGCCACCTCAATGGTTTAGTCAGTCAGATAATCAAAATAGAGGAATATATTTAAATGGTTTCTCAGCATAAATGTTTTTTTCTTTTTTGGTTTTCCAAGACAGGGTTTCTCTGTGGCTTCAGAGCCTGTCCTGGAACTAGCTCTTGTAGACGAGGCTGGCCTTGAACTCACAGAGACCCGCCTGCCTCTGCCTTCCAAGTGCTGGAATTAAGGGCATGCACCACCACCGCCCAGCTAAATGTATTTTCAAAGAGTCGTAGTTTTTGTATCATCAACTTAAACAAAATACATACACTTGGGATATGGACTATCTACCCTGGGCTCTTTGACTTAAAAAAAAAAAAGATTACAGAAGATACAAGTCTTCCATGTTCCTACGGTGGCATGAACAAATTCTTCGCCCTTGTTTTGAACAATGACTTTGTCTGAAATTCCACCTCTTAGGTTCCAATTATACTTTTGTCCTTAGCAAAGAGGCTTTATTGTAAAGGTTTCCTTACCCACAACCCTGATTTCATGTTTTATTCATCTCCTTCTTTAGATTTCAAGTAAGGTAAGGATGCCAAAATTCAAACTTTACTTAATGTGCTGATGCCAGGTGTCAGACTCTCCTGTTGAAACTCTTCCTTCACGGAGGTTGTTCCCGAAGTACTTTCGGGGAAGTGACGCGACAGCCATTCTTTGGTTCTCATGGCCTTGCAGTGGAGGCAGGGTCTTTCTCTGACTTGGTAATTTTCCAGATCCCTTGGCCTCAACACTGATTTTCTCCTCTTGATACTGGCGGGCGACGGAGGCTGTTCACTTTCACTCTCCTTCCACGAGGATGCTCCAGAGTTGGATTCCTCATTTTCGCGCTCAGTGCTATCGCTGTCTTGCTGGATCTGATTCTTCCGGTGGAACTGGGAATGGCGCCTAGCTCGTCTATGTTCAAGGTAGGCACTGACCAAAGCCATTTCGGAGTCAGTTACGGCAGAAAGTTGGTTCTGCTTTGGTTTCTTCATCACTTGTGAATAGTCCAAGGATCTGTCTTTACTTTGTTGCTTATAGAAAGTTTCTTTACTTGCTAACCAAGAAAACAGATCAGCAAGTTAGGCAAGAATAGTCATTAATAATTGGTTGTTATAGAAAGATCAATTAAGCCAGATGGTGCTGGCCCACACTTTTAATTCCAGCACTCAGGAGGCAGAGGCAGGCGGATCTCATGAGTTTGAGGCCAGCCCGCTCTACAGAGAAAGTTCCAGGACAGCCAAGGGTACACAGAGAAACCCTGTCTTGAAAAACAAAGAAAAGAACAAAGAAAGGAAGGAAGGAAAGGAGGGAGGGAGGGGGAGAGGAAGGGGAGATGGAGGGAGGGAGGGAGGGAGGGAGGGAGGGAGAGAGAGAGAGAGAGAGAGAGAGAGGTCAGTGAGAAGGACAGACAGTTTTGGGGGCCCTACAGAAGGTGTCTGGAGGGCCAGAGCCTGCCTTCTGCTTATAAATTGGCATATTTACAGGACAGAGGACCTGGGACAGGGAAGGAGGTTTCAAAGTTTTGTTTTTGGCTTGCAGTTGGCCCTTGTTGGGCATAACCTGTGAGCAATCAGTTAAAGAGTGTTAGGTCCTTCAGTCAGAGGTGGTGGTACAGGCCTTTAAGTCCAGCACTGGGGAAGCAGGTGGATCTCTATGGAGTTCAAGCCAGCCTCGCCTACAAAGTTGAATTCTAGGTCAGATAAGGGTTATGTAGTAAGACCCTATCTAAATAACTCAATTAGTCATCTGACCACCCATAAATATCGGATATGGCTGGGCACTATGGGGTCTTCAGTGGGGACGGTGGCAGGAACCTAGGGAAGTAAACTACTTTATGTATTCCTGAATGTTGATTACTGTGGTTTCAGGAAACTGCTAGAACTCTTCAAAATGGCACTTTTCAAAATGATGGGGCCTTGGCTAACAACTTCACATTACCCAAGAAAGTCCGACCCAGCGGTCAAATCACTGCCTTCCTCAATCACTCGCTAATGCCAGCAAAATGAGTGCTTTTCTGGCGCTGCTCTCCACCCCACAGAGACGGGAGGAAATGACTGCTGAACCTTTGTAAGCCCTGGATGTGGTATCAAATGGAAGGTTTCCCGAGAAGAAACGTCGTGAAGGTTGCAGGGTGTGAGGGAGAGGGATTTGACAGCAAGACGCCTCTCTCTCCTCGCCATGCTCTATGCTGATGTTGGCTCCTAGCAGCTCAAAAAGCCTGATACATCTTTGAAAATTTTGTGAGATGGTTAAACCATCATTGCTAAACAAATTTACAATTAAATCAGTCTACCAAAAAGGTGATAATTACTTAATGCCCATAATTTCCTAATTATCTTCCTACAGTTTATTATGCTGTGGACCCTCAGAGCTGTTTATCTGGGTGTGGGAAGGCCTACCGGAGGATGCGTTATTATTGTACTTCTGTCTCCAAGTTTGTTCTCTGACAATATGCTGCCAGCTCCAAACCATCATGGGAGTGAACATTTACCTGGAAACTAGCAAAAAAGACCAGGGCTTAGTGCCCGGGGCTAGGAAAATGATGGAGACTGTGTTTCTAATGTAGATTGTCACAGCTGCCACCTAACTGTGAATAGCAACCCACAATCAAGACATACTCTCCCAGTGTTCTGAAGCTGTTATTCACTTCATCAAAGCAGCCGATGAACAACTAAGCTGATGTCTCGATTCCATTTCATTCTTCAGCTTTGAGGACAATAACATTTTGTTTGTTAGTTTGTTTGTTTTTGTTTTTCGAGACAGGGTTTCTCAGTCCCGAAGGAGTTAGTCCTGGAACTAGCTCTGTAGACCAGGCTGGCCTCGAACTCACAGAGATCTGCCCCTCTCCAAGTCTTCCGAGTGCTGGGATTAAAGGTGTGCACTACCACCACCCAGCGAGGACAATAACATTTATGCTAACATTATACTCACTTGGTCACTCGGCTTATAACTATAACCTAGGAGGCAAGGGTCTGGCAAAAATCAAAAAGAACACTGTGTGTGAAATCAGGAGTCTACAGAGAACTTAACACAAATACTTCATAAATTATGGGACAGAAATCTTTCCTATCAATACACACACATTTGTCTATCCACAAAGCTTTGTGAAGGCAAGCCCCGAGACACGACAGCAAAGGGAGCTCTGGCTACCGTAATCTGTCCTTTATGGTGGCGGCTCTGCTGGGGCATCTGAGTCGTCTCTGCCTTTGGGAGGAAGGAAGCCTTCACCCAGAGGCCTTCTAGCCTCCACCCTCCTCTGGAGAGCCCGAGACCGCTCACCTTGATGCTCACCTTGACTTACTGGCGCACTGGTCCCACCGTCTTCATCCCACTTGCTGGCAGACATCTGTTTCAGAAATACAGTGAGATGAGCTCAGTCAGTTACCCTACGGTAACATCGACGAGCCCAGGACCATTGCTCGAGGTCCTTTACTAAGGTCTAGCCTTGAACAGTCAACCCTGTCAGACACGCACATCTGGAGTTCCTTTGTAATGGGGACCTACCTCCACTGCCAGTTCAAAAGACCATGCTTCTGTAGCAAAATCCACCAAAATGGTCTGACCGAGCAAAACTGGGCAAAGACTGTAGATAAAATAATACTCACGAGGTGATAAAGTTTTCTATCACTTATAATACATAGAAGTTTCATTTAAAAACAGATGAGGGGGGAGGGGTTGGAGAGATGGCTCAGCAGTTAGGACCACTGGCTGCTTCTCCAGAGGAACTGGATTCAATTCATAGTACCCACATGGCAGCTTAAAACTGTCATATTCCAGGGGATCTGACACCTTCACACAGATAAACGTGCAGGCAAAACACCAATGCACATAAAATAAAAGTAAATTAAAAAAAAATCACTCAAAAAATGGATTGGGGGCCTGGCAAGAAGGCTCAGTAGATAAAGGCACATGGTGCTAAGCCCTATGACCAGCATTCAATCCCTGGGGATGGCATGGAAGGAGAACTGACTCCCAAAAGTTGTCTTCTGACCCCCACATACACACCATTGCGCATGCTCACTCTCAGACATGTGTGTAAACCCACACACAATAATACACGTAATAAATTTAGACCAAAACCATATTTGAATCCCAGTGTGGTAGCACACACCTATAATCTCCACACTCAAGGTCCCGAGTTCAAGGCCACTCCGGGTTATATAGCAAGTGCCAGTCTCAAAAAAACCACACATTAGCTTCAAATGAGTCCTTTAAGAACTCAGGATGGCTGGGCGTGGTGACACATACCTTTAATCCCAGCACTCAGGAGGCAGAGGCTAGTGGATTTCTAAGGTATGAAGCCAGCATGGTCTACACAGCGAGGTCCAGATCAGGGAGACCTTCATAATGAGACCCTATCTCAAAAATGGATTGATTAATTAATAGCGACTTTATTCCTTCTTCTTCCAAATTGTCCACAATTAGGAAATACAATTTGTACAGAAAGTCAAAACTTGTTTAGGTCGAAAGGTGCTCTGCCGAATGTGTTAAGTTCATTACTTTTTAAATTTTTAGCTTTTTAAAGACTGGTCCTCAGGTAGTGCGGTTGGCCTGGAATTAACCTTGTAGCCAAAATGACCCTGAACCTACAGATCTTCCTGCTTCTGCCTCCCAAGTACTGGCATTATGGGGCATGCTACCACACCGGCACATATTTGAATAGTTCTAGCAGCAAAATCCAAGATCCCTGGCTTAATACTTTCTAGGACTCCAGTAGGGTATTTCCTTGTCTCTCTCTCTCTCTCTCTCTTTTTTTTTTTTTCTTGGTACAGTGGTCATTCTCTAAATATCTCAAGATTGAAGTCCTTCCTAAAGTTACATTTTTAAAAAATGTGTTAGGACCCCATGCATATTTTAAATTTAACATGTATAGAGAGAATTATGAAAAGACTGGAGGCTGTGAACCTAGATGTTAATAGCAGTTGGGGATGTCTATATAATCTGGACTCTGGAGTGGTGTCTGTTCCATTTTGTCTACCTTCCTATAATCTTGTGCTCTGCAGTGGGCACTTCTGTAGTTGAAGGAAAAGGTATTTAAAAGCACTTATTAGAGCCGGGCGGTGGTGGCGCACGCCTTTAATCCCAGCACTCGGGAGGCGGAGGCAGGCGGATCTCTGTGAGTTCGAGGCCAGCCTGGTCTACAAGAGCTAGTTCCAGGACAGGAACCAAAAGCTACGGAGAAACCCTGTCTCGAAAAATCCAAAAAAAAAAAAAAAAGCAAGCACTTATTAGGTTTATAAAATCATTTCCACAGAGAGATTCCACACTGGATGCCAAATCAAAATACAACCACAAAATCAAAGGAAAGATTTTACATTAAACTAAGTGGAATCGTATGAGTTATGGTTAGCACAAGCATTTCATTATCTATCCCTGTGCAGGACTTAGTGAGGGAAAGTAGTGACAGTGGTCACTCTGCAGGGCAGGGCAGGGCCAGGCAGGGCCGGGCCGGGCCGGGCAGTAAAGGGGGGCTGCACTCTATCTTTCTGCCACGCTCCAGCTCTCCCATCTCATCATACCACTCCATCCCTTCTAAGCTCAATTTCCACATATGCAGAAACAAGGATTTCAGACAACTATGGTCTAGAAAAACAAAAGCAGCACTAGCAAACTTAAGTGCTAGACAAGCAGACCAACTCAACAGAGGATCTCGAAGCCGGGCGGTGGTGGTGCATGCCTTTAATCCTGGCATTCAGGGAAGCAGAGGCAGGAGAATCTCCCTGAGTTCAGGACCAGTCTGGGTCTACAGAGTGAGTTCCTGGACAGCCGGAGCTACACAGAGAAACCCTGTCTCAGAAAGATAACAAAAGGAAAACATGTCTTCTAAGAAGAGATGAATCCCAAGGGCATGGGCGCGTTGCTTGTTGGAGGGTGATTCCCACCACGTTCCCTACCGCTCTCGACCACTGCTTTAAGGGTTGGAGATAGAGACCCACTGTCTCACAGGAACAAGCTCAAAGTACGGGGGAAATTTCGTCCTCCTTGACTGGCTCTCATACAGTTCTCAGGTTTCAAATCTGGGACCCTTCAGAAGAAGCAGGCCAACCAACTGGAGCTGCCACAAGGGCACAAAGTGAAAGATGAAACCCCAAAGATAATTACGGTTTCAATCAGCGCTGAACAGATTTAATCCAACATTTCAAACTATGCTTTGAAGTAAACAAATAATATGGCAGGAAATCTGGATTCCTTTTCCCTCTGTCACTCTGTCACAAACCACTTGTGTGACACTGGACAAGTCACTTAAATTCTTTGGGTTTTATCAACCCCCCCCCAAAAAAAAAAACTAAGGTGCGTATGGGGATTTTACTTGCTTACAGACAGAAGGCTGGACCGCATGCCCCCTTCAGTCCTTGGAGCATAGCTCGACAGCTCCAAACTGCTGATGTAAGCAAGGGGATTAAAGAACAGCGTAGACCTCTTAAATGATCTTCATGATGAAATTGCCAGTGATCAATTCCAATTTTTTGTTAATTTTCTAAAGTAGCTTTTCTTGCCAGGCCAAATTCAATATACTTAGCTAGGGAGTCTAAAACACATATAAGCATCACTGTTCTAATTCTCCTTCTGGCAAAGCATTTACCTCAAGAAGCATTTAGACATCAGATAAAACTTCTTGGCCAGGAGGTAGTAGGGGGAAGAGGGTTTTTTTATTATTATAATGGAATCTACCTGGCATCGAAATAACAAACCTCCTCTTCTCCATCCAGAACTAACATAGCACTCAATCTAGCTAGCCACTGCCAGCGGGGAGCTCTGGCTGGAATGCTAAATGATGGTGGCTTGATTAATCACCAGTCTATTATTAATGGCCAGAAAAGATTCTGTGTCAGCAATTTATAAGAGGTTGGTTGCTCATAGTATGTCGGGCCACAGACTTAATAAAGCGAACTATGCCATTCCTAAGCTTCTAGAATTTTCTTTTGCTATTCTGTGCCTAAGAGTGCTGACTTTAGCTCTGTTTCGTTTAATTCTGTATCTTAGTCTATGCAGAAAATGGAGTTTCCTTCTAGCCACTCCCCAAATCCTACATGTGTCCTCTCAAAATGTCAAACATTTATATCTTTAATAGAACCACACGGCTATAAGAGGGATTTGGAAGTCACTAACCAGTGGAGAGTTTTATCTCAATATTATATAGCATATGAACAAAAAGGTAAATAGCCTAAATTTTCAACTGCAGAATTTTCATAGTGCAACCCTAAGACAGAGAAGTTATAATGAAAAGGCTGCTTCCATGAGGAAGGATTTACAAAATATTAACTCAAAAGTCAGGCTATGAAAATACACACAATATAAGTTTTGACTATGCAAGGGCAAGGAGAGAGAGAGAGAGATCGAGAAAAAGCAGGGAAAAAATAACCTAGAAGGAGTTCTCCACAAATTTAACAGTTTGTATCTCTACAAAATGGAGTGGAGTGGTTTTAATGCTCTTTATCCTTTCCAGTATCTTTAGATTTTCTGGCATGAGAATGCATCATTTTTTAAACAAAACAAAAACCTTTTTTAAAAAAAAAAAGTACTTTCATCAAACTACAGACAGACAGACAGTGTAGTTGCTGAAAAACCTTACAAAGACACGATTTAAAGTGAAAAGGATTTCCTACCCAGAGGGAAGCCCGAGAGAAGAACATGAGAATCAGTATGATGACGAAATACCAAAGCAGAAAACTTCCTACTATCCCACAAGAATCGTCCTTCCCGTCCTTCCGGCACTCAGCATCCTGTCTCGGAATACTAAAACTGAGGGGCATGGGAGGAGGGTCCAGCTCCCAGAATAAAGACAAAAGATCTCCCATAATAGCTTCTTGCTTAGGAAATAATAAGACATGCTCAAAGGGATGAAGGTGACTGGGAACGATTTCCCTCCATGGCCTATGACAACTTCCCTGGCAACCTATTGTGACATACACTTAAGTAACTGTTGTAGGAACTGATAAATCTGCTTGAATTAGATGGGCAGATTTATCTAAATGACATCTAGAATAGTTTATGGTATTTCCTGAATTTCTCAGTATATTTTCTTCTGCCTAAGTCTTTTCTTCTTCGAAGGTTACATATTCTTTATTTTCATATTTAAGTGTCTAAGGTATTTTTTTTATCAGTCTCTCTTTTTTTAATGTGTACCATACCACTGTAAATTAACACACACAATTCCAATGTACTACAGGCTGCATTGTGTGTTCCCTAAAATTTAAATGTTGATGCCTTCAGAGCCATCTTGTATTTTGAGATAAGGTCAGAAGAGAGGCAGTAAAAGGAAAGTCAGAGGGCGGGATGACAAGACTTTCCGCCCGAGGTCAATCCCCCGTGTTTCACATGGTAGAAGAACACTGACTCCCTCAAGCTACACTCTGACCTCCACATGTTCACGGTGGTACCTGTGCTCCCACACAGTGCATATACACACAAAATAAATAAATGTAAATTCAAAAAATCTTCAAGAGGGAACGGAGGCTCCATCGGGTCATAAGGGTGGAAACTTAATCTAGCTGATAGTCTCGAAGAAGAGGAAGGACACCAAGGATTCACCAACAAGGGGGGAAAGGCCATCTCAGAGTGTAAGGTGAGGCCATCTGCAAGCCAACAGCACCAGGCTCAACAGACTCCAGCCCTGCTGACATCTTCCCAAGCTGGGGAGGGGGGGGGTGGACGCCTACTCTTCTACGCTCCTTTTCCCCCCCTTGGAGGAAGCACTCATGTTTTGGGATATAGTGTTACCGTAACTAAACATATAATGGCAACTATCAACTCTGATCTGACAAGTGTTATATAAGCCTGAATAAATGCTCAATAGCTTGTTACCTTAAAAGGAGGAAACGGACCCCTGTTAAAAACTATGTCGAAGTTATACAGTTTCTTTTTAGATAGACTTACATGGGGAGAAATGAGAACCTGGCATTCTAATTTGACTGGACACTGAATTGAACCCTTTCTTTTTCAACAGTTTTCAAGTTAGTCCATCTCTAAATCTACATCTAGATCCAAACTACATCATACTAAGACAATGATCAAAATCTCACTGGAAAAAAAAATTAGCTCTTTAAGAGCATACAATAACCCACCAGTTTTCATATGCAATACCGCCATGACACCTCATTTCTTTCTGTTTAATCTTGATTTTTTTTTTTTTTTTTTGGGTTTTCGAGACAGGGTTTCTCTGCGGCTTTGGAGCCCGTCCTGGAACTAGCTCTGTAGACCAGGCTGGTCTCGAACTCACAGAGATCCGCCTGCCTCTGCCTCCCGAGTGCTGGGATTAAAGGCGTGCGCCACCAAAGCCCGGCTTTATTTACATTTTCTGAGACAGCCTCATGATGTAGTCCCGGCTGGCTTTCGAACTCCAGAGATCCACACGTCTCTGGCAGCCCCCGAGTGCTGGGATTAAAGGCAAGTACCACCATGCCTGGCTGGCACACTTCTCTGGAAGAAGGAGTCCCTGAGTGCACTGCCCATTAGTCCTCTAACTTGGGTCAGTGTTGCCACTCCCAAGAAAGTTCTTCCAGGGCTGATTGTGATGGATGTCCCTCCCCCAGTCTCCTTGTTTCCGCTTCACCTGTAGGATTCAGACAAAGCCCTTTGGAGCAATAACCAGAGAGCTCCCCGCCCCATAGTCCACATCGGGAGCAGTGGTACACTGTAAGAACCGGCACTAACTACAAAGTAAAATCCGACTCACCTCCCTGGCGAATCTTTTCTCAGTACTTTGAAAGAACATTCAGGGCAAAGGTGGGCTTTTGTCGTTTTGTTTTTAACCTCAAAACCACTAACTTCAATAGAACTTTCTAGTTTTTCTTCCTACTGCTGCAACCCCATTAGGTGGATATTTGAGAATTGAAGTTGGGTCAGAGTAATTGGGGTAAACATTTCAAAGCAGGAAAAATGCTTTGTCATTGCTGATTGTGTCTGGACACATCAGGCATGCTTGTATCCTACCAATTAGCCATCCGGCTAAATAAAACCTACTTAAAGATGAGCCCATACGGATCCTAAATAAATCTATAATTAATAATATTTAAAAATTCAGCTTGTTACAATCATTACTTTTTACTAAGGGCTCAGAACGTGGTCTGAATTTTGCAGCTCAGCTTTCTCCCGGTAGCTGAGTAGGAGCCACAAATCCGAGGGCGTTTCCCTGGCAACGATCGCTGCCCTGGTCCCTCTGCACCACCCCCTCCTTCTCGCGAGAAGAGACGGCCGGCCCGGTCCTTCCGGTAATTGGAGTCTTTCTAGCCCGCCGCCGCCTTAGGCTTGGCTTCGCGCATGTGCAGTAGGGAGTGGCGCGAGTTCGCGGCTTCCGGCTGAAGAAGATGGTGCGTTTTGGGGGGTTGTCTTTGTGATTCCTGGACGTGGAGTCCACGCGGTCCCTCAGAGTTCCACGCCTAAAGTTGTGCCTGGGGTTCAGCCAGGGGAGGATGTAGCCGAAAGTCCTGCCACTTGTAGTGGAAGGGAAGAAAGACACAAGGAGGATGAACAAAGTTTATTCAGAGGTAGCCAGGGAGGGCAGCTCTCCTACGGGAGTTTTGGCGCGGGGCTGGATGGCGGGAAGGATACTAGTCTGCTCTGTAGAATACGACTTCCAGGAGCTGCCATATCAGACTGCAGACCTGAGCCTAGCAAGACAAAGGAAATACAATTCCACTGTACCAAAACTGAATGCACGTGTTCCCTATCTCTCTTGACCCTTCACCTGCTAGTACCAGACCACCTCATTAGTAAAGCCTTACAATCTCGTCACCAAAAGGAGATCCCAGACCTGTAGCAGTCCAAGGTCAGGGTTAGAGTCTGTCACAGTAATGACAAAACTTGGTATCTTGTGTCTCTTCATCTAGACATAGTAACATCCTCGAGTCAGACAAACCGTGAAATCTTTGAGACTTAATAACAAACCCTTACATTATGAAACAAGACATTATCATTTATTGGAACCATTAGTTTCTCTGAAATAACCAGCCAGTTCTCTGTTGATTTCTCTGTAGTACAAAAGAAGGCAATTATTTTAGGACACCCTTTTCAAATACTAATATTAAGGTGGAGGGATGGGGGGGAGGAGTTGGGAAGAAATATTAAGGAAGAGGAAAAGACTGTGGGGTTGATACTTTACAACAGACACTTTTGATTTCCTTTGATTAATTCCAGGCTGTCTTACTTTGATTTTGAATAGATGCAAGGAGAAGCAAGCCCCAGTGCTTCTCTTATTGACAGAACCATCAAGATGAGAAAAGAAACAGAAACTAGGAAGGTGGTTTTAGCCTGGGGACTCCTAAATGTATCCATGGCTGGAATGATATATACTGAAATGTAAGTTCATCAGCCCAAAAGTGACATTTTAAACCATCATTGGCTGGTTCTATGGCTTTTCATATTTCTTTTGGTTTTCGGTGCTTGGTTGGTTGCTTTGTCATGGAGTTAGGGGGTGGTTTTCTTTTGTTTTTGTTTTTTGAAATAACTGAAAAGCATTTCTAATCTTTTCAGGACTGGAAAGTTAATTAGTACATATTATAATGTGACATACTGGCCCCTCTGGTATATTGGTAAGTAATTAATTTTCACTGGAATTTAGATTTACTACAAATGAAAACTTGCTTATAGTTTAATTCAGCTTAGGATTCGCTCTTTCATTCAGAGACAAATAATGAATTACCTGCTCTGTTTCCCAAGATGTTGAAAACAACAGAGAAGGAACTAGGAAAACATTTTGTTGTTGTTGTTGTTTTGCTTTGTTTTTTTTTTTTTTTTTCAAGACAGGGTTTCTCTGTGTAACAGTTCTGGCTGTCCTTGAACTTGCTTTGTAGATCAGGCTGGCCTCAAACTCACTAAGATTCACCCGCCTCTGCCTCCCAAGTGCTGGAATCAAAGGTGTGCACTACCACCTCCCAGCTAGGAAAACACTTTTTTTCTATGGGAAGAACATTCTAGTAGGAGACTGAGTCAGAGGATTATTTCAAGTTTGAGGACAGCCTGGCAGTAAATATCTAATCCCACCCGGTGCTTGGGAGATGGAAGAAGAATCAGAAGTCGGAGGCCAACCTGGCATGGCACATGAGACCTTGTCTTTAAACTACGCTAATAAACAATACAGAGTTAATTAGCTAGGAGCCCTACAGCTTGTGGGTGATGAGGTTTATCTTAGCCGTTCCTGAAATACACTCTCTCTTCTTCACCTTCGAGACCAGACCAGATAGAAAGAGTCCTAGGGATATCAAAATAAATGTGTAGCCTATGCAAGTTGAAATCAGTGTGGACAGCCAGCGGTGGCTTTAATCCCAGCCCTTCGGAGGCCAAGGCAGGTGGACCTCTCAGTCCAAGGCCAGCCTGGTGTACAGATCTAGTTCCTGGAAAGTCAGGCTATACAAAGAAACCCTGTCTTGGGAAAACAAACAAGAAAGAAAGAAAGAAATCGATCATGGAGGAATAGAGATGACTCCGAGGTCAAGAGCCATACTGCTTTTGCAGAGGACCCAGTTTTTTTTTCTGGCTCCCGGATGGTGACTCACAACTCCAGTACCAGGGTTCCAACACCCTCTTTGGGCCTCTGCCTATACCAGGCAAGGACATGGTGCACATCCGGGCAAAATACAGACGTAAAATAACTTTGAGAGTGGGTATGGCAGATGGGAAAGGACGGGATTCAGGATTATCACGCCTATGGTAGAGTCATGGTTCACTAACACACTGGGACTCCCAAAACTCACTTGACTATTAAAACGAATGTGGAAATATCTGTTATACGGGTTTATAAGAATTAGTGATTAGTTTAAAACTCAGTAGCGAATATGATCTGAGCCTACTAGACTTTGGT